TAAAGCAAGCTCCTAAACAATGGCATGAAAAGTTTTATTCAATCATAGTAGCCAATAGTTTTAAACATAATGGAACAGATAAGTGTATTTACTCAAAATTTACTAAAGAATATGGAGTTATAATATGTCTCTATGTGGATGATATGCTAATTTTTGGTATTAATATGATTGGCATGAATGAAACCAAAAGGTATCTAATTTCTAATTTCAAAATGAAAGATTTAAATGAAGTTGATACCATTTTGGGAATTAAAGTTAAGAGATATAATAAGGGTTTCATTCTTAATCAAAGTTATTATATTGAGAAACTACTTAATAAGTTTAAGTATCTCAATATAAAAGAAACCAATACTCCATATGATACAAGTATAAAATTAACAGAAAATCAAGATAATGTAATTGCACAACTTGAATATGCTAGTGCTATTGGAAGTATTATGTATGCTATGCATTATACTAGGCCAGATATAGATTTTGCTATTTGCAAGTTATCGAGATATACAAGTAAGCCTAGTATAAGTCATTGGAAAGCCATAGAAAGAGTTCTAGGTTATCTTAAAAGAACTAAAGATTTTGGCTTATTTTATTCTGGAGATCCGGCTATTTTGGAAGGATATTTAGATGCAAGTTGGATCACTAGTATAAGTGACAATAAATCCACTTCAGGATGGATGTTTACCCTTGGAGGTTGTGCAATTAGTTGAGCATCCAAGAAACAAACTTGCATTTCACATTCAACTATGGAATCTGAATTTATAGCTTTAGCTGTAGCAGGCGAAGAAGCTGAATGGCTAAGAAATTTATTAATAGATATAGAGTTGTGGCCATAACCAATAACAACCATTTCCTTGTACTGTGATAGTGAAGCTACTATGTCTAGAGCTTATAGTGAAATTTATAATAAAAAATCTAGACATATTAGTCTAAGACATGATTATATCAGATAATTGATAAAAAATGGGATAATTACCATCATAAATGTTAAATCTGCTAAAAACTTAGCAAATCCTCTTACCAAGGCATTACCTAGAAATCTGGTAAGAAGCACCACAAGTGGAATGGGTTTAAAATTTCTTTTAGACACCAATAATGGTAACCTAACTTTGAATTAGTAACTTCTAATTGCAAAGTTTAATAGGTAATAACAAATTATTGTTATGTGTTTGTAAACACTAGTCAACCCATTCTATATATTTGGAATACTAGTGTAAGCCATTGTGTAAATGGAGGATGAGATTGAACTCTTAATGGAGTTAATAATTAAATGTCTATAGCAATGGAGACATAAATAAGAAACTCCACCTCTATAAATATTGAAGTGGTGCCGCTTTAACAAGAAAATTGGAAACTTTCTTGTAAATATTTATGAATAAGGATAAGCACATGGTCATAATAGTGCTAAAGTGATTATAAACCTCTGACAGAATATTAAACAAATATTATGTGTGTTATATCTTTAATTTTAACATTAGGAGTTGAGGTTTAATCTACGGACATCATCAACTTTGTTAGAATTCTAAGATATATACGCTAATTGAAGGTTTAAATCGAAAGATACCTTTTTATATTCATAATATTTATTTGTGTGAAAGGTTAAAGTTAAGCACCAACATTTCAAACTAGTGAGGGATTGTTGGTAGTTTAGAATGTGGTGCATCCCACATTGGATAGAAAGATTTAATTATTGATGAATAAAATTAATTTTTGTATTAATTTTATTCATATTTTAAATAATTATGATTGAACAGAAATAATTATCATATGACAAATGGTCATAACTATTGAAATATAAATAGATTGTTATTTATAAATGTCATGATTATATAGAAGGTCATAACTATCTGAATAGAAGTTCATATCTGTTCATTCATTATAAATAAATCTTTTAGTATAACCATTTTCACTACTTCTTATTTAGAGAGTTTTAAGGCTTTGTTGTATTCTATAGGCATAATTGCCTTTAAGACAGTGTTATTCACGCTTCAAAGCTATATTTTCTTCTTTTTACTATTTCTGTTTTCTTAAATCTACTAACAATTACATAGCGAGGGCTCCTATCAATTGTATGATGATATGCATAAGATGGAGGATTATATTGAAAAATACACCGAAGATGGAATTATCATCATCATCAACAAGCTGATGAATCAACTTGAAGTGGAAAAACCCCCGCCAAGGAGGAGCAAGACATTGAGAACCTTTACATTTTGCCTAGCGATCACTTTTCAGCACGTAGACACCCCTAACCAAACAGGCTGCTACAGACCTCCGATTATTTGCATTGTTCCAATCAATACTATTTAGGTGCGAAGGCCCTGAAAAGCTAAAATGTTCACTTCCAAAGGCCATCATAACACTTGAAATTCTTGTTTTTTCTTGTTGATTTCCATGAATATTGCTAAGATTTTGGTGCAATTAAACCAGATGTGGGTGATGATTAATGAAGATTTGAAATAAATTTGATGTGGTTTGTTAGGGAGACATGCACAAAAGCAGCTGTCTTTGCCATATGACACAATAGTTAGTATTTTTTTTAATGAAATTATATGTACAACTAAAATTTACAATCACCGATTCACCGTTAAAAATCGGGAACACATATGTACCTAACATAATTATAAATTAATGAATAAACCAAATAAACTAATTACAACCTGTATATATTGTTGGGAATATTGACTCAAATCCCATAAGAGATTTGTTTGAGATTTGTTTGAGATTTGTCAGATATTGCTTGATGGATAAAAAGACTTGCAAAAGAAGAATTTCAAGAGAAAGAAGATTTTTAATAGGTAAGTTTGACTTGCAAGAGAAGAATTCTAAAAGGAAAGAGATTCTTAATAGGCAAGTTTGACTTACAGGAGAAGAATTCTAAGAGGAAAGGGATTCTTAATGGGCAAGTTTGTATGGTTATAAATAAGTGAAGTCTCTACAGGGTTAGGTATGAGAAAAAGATGTAAGAGAGTTGTAGGGTTTTGTGGGATAGACACCCCATAGGAGTATTGGGGCTTTACGTCTTATAGGTGTGTATGTTTGTTTATGAGTGGACTAGAGGAGATTGAGAGGGTCCACATAGGTATGATGTACGGGAACATATAGGTATGTGTTTGGTTGTGTTGAAAGGGTGCACAAGAGTTTGAGTTTGTGTTTGTTTGGGTTGAGAAGGACTAGAGGAGATTGAGAGTGTCTTATGAGTATTGATTGTTGAGTGAGGTTGATGATTTGATGTATGTTTGTAATTCTCTACAACTAGTGGATCTTTTTTCTCATCTGTGGATGTAGAATAGTTGGACCGAATCACATTAAATTGTTGTCTCTTATGTGTTTGATTTATTGTTTGATTTCGCTTCCGCTGGTGTGATTGGATTGGAGGTTTTTAGCCCAACAAATGGTATCGGAGCTGTGGTGTTTCCCAACAAATGGTATCAGAGCTATGGTGTTCCTTAATAAACGGTATCAGAGCTGTGGTGTTCCCCAACAAGTGGTATCAGAGCTGAAGGTTTGAAATGTGAGAAGAGTTGAAGATTTAAAATGTGGAAAGAGCCGAAGGTTCGAGACGTGAAAGAGATGAAAGTTCGAGGTTTGGGAAGTGCATGGTTTGAGACATGGGAAGAAGCAAGTCCAGAAAAGTTCGATTCAAGAGAAGAGTTCGAGTTTAAGTTTTGAAGATTAAGAATTGATTTGTATGAAGCGTGAAGACATAAGAGAAGAGAAGATGATTGTGAGACTTCCATTACAGGTGGAGCCAAGCATGTCTAGCATGAAGACAGATGATTGATGAAATTTGAGTCAAGGTGGAGATTGTTGGGAATATTGACTCAAATCCCATAAGAGATTTGTTTGAGATTTGTTTGAGATTTGTCAGATATTGCTTGATGGATAAAAAGACTTGCAAAAGAAGAATTTCAAGAGAAAGAAGATTTTTAATAGGTAAGTTTGACTTGCAAGAGAAGAATTCTAAAAGGAAAGAGATTCTTAATAGGCAAGTTTGACTTACAGGAGAAGAATTCTAAGAGGAAAGGGATTCTTAATGGGCAAGTTTGTATGGTTATAAATAAGTGAAGTCTCTACAGGGTTAGGTATGAGAAAAAGATGTAAGAGAGTTGTAGGATTTTGTGGGATAGACACCCCCATAGGAGTATTGGGGCTCTACGTCTTATAGGTGTGTATGTTTGTTTGTGAGTGGACTAGAGGAGATTGAGAGGGTTCACGTAGGTATGATGTATGGGAACATATAGGTATGTGTTTGGTTGTGTTGAAAGGGTGCACAAGAGTTTGGGTTTGTGTTTGTTTGGGTTAAGAATACTCCATAGACTAGAGGAGATTGAGAGTGTCTTATGAGTATTGATTGTTGAGTGAGGTTGATGATTTTATGTATGTTTGTAATTCTCTACAACTAGTGGATCTTTTTTCTCATCCGTGGATGTAGGTCAGTTGGACCGAACCACGTTAAATTGTTGTCTCTTATGCGTTTGATTTATTGTTTGATTTTGTTTCCGCTGGTGTGATTGGATTGGAGGCTTTTAGCCCAACATATATAACTAGGAAAAAAGAAAACATAGGAGTTTAATTGTTATTTCTCACTCTTCCACACTAACCAAAACACCAAAAGATAAATTTTAAATTATTTTATTTTATTTTATTTTCCTTCAATATTTTATTTATGATAATAAAGTTGTGATTGAAATAATATAAAATTAGTTAATGAATATCAATCCTTAATTGCAATCAGAAGTGAAAGTCTATTACTTATGGTGTTTTTCATTTCACATGTTTATTTTCTTAATTATATTTTCAAAACAATCAATTATTTATATTTTAAAAGTATAATTCATGAAAGGTAAATTCCATCAAATCTCTTGTGGTTTAAACTTTTCTCACATATTATTTATATTTTGAAAGTACAATAGTTATTTTAAATGTATTAATAACATATAATAGATATGTAACATACAAAAATAACAAATATTTATGTATTTTATATATAGACTAATCTGATATCTTGGGAAGTTAAGAAACAACAAACTGTTGCAAGATCCAATGCAGAGGCTGAGTACAAAGCTATTGCTTCAACAGCAGCAAAATTCACTTGGCTTGCCTCTCTCATGTGTGATCTTAGTGTTCACGTGTCTTAACCATCTATTTTATATTGTGACAATACCAATGCCCTTTATATGTCTTATAATTTAGTGTTTCATGCACGAACGAAACACATTGAGATCGACTACCACTTTGTTCATGAAAAAGTTGCTCAAGGCTCTTTGGTTACTTGTTTTGTGCGTTCTTCTCATTAACTTATTGATATATTCACCAATGCTCTTCCGTAAAATTATTTTCAGATATTGCGTGGCAAGTTGGGTGTTCTTTCCCTCTCACACATCAACTTGAGGGGGAATAATAATGATTACATCCAATCACAGATTCTGTGCAATAATTTATGTAATATTAGCTGATATATTGTCTAATCTGTAGCCATAATCTTGACTATATTATTTATCATTTATTTTTTTCTATTGTACATATATTATCATTATAAATATATGCAACTAGAACACTCTCTAGACATAGAGAGAGTAATTCCATAGAAGTGTTTCTAAACCATATTTATAACGTATATAGTTTGGTCCTTTAAATTTTGTCAGTTAATTTGTTGAGCTTTTGAATTATATGATAATTATGGTGGTGATAAGTTCCGAGTTCTTCTTAATTGGCCACGGTTTCATAGATCCCTTTTGTAACTGCATAGCCAACAGCACCAACCAAGTTAAATCCAAATAAGCCTGCTGTTTGATTGCTCATGGCCACACCCGTTTTGCAATACACTGCAAAGTCCTCACAATTGTTAAGAAAAAAATTGTAGGTGCCGAAGCTCTTGTCTTGGAGCAGACGATGAGCTGTCTCGACAACTTCATTTGCCGGTTTGCAATCCCAAGTGCTGCAAGAACCACGGCGTTTAAAAACCAACTTCAAGTAGGAGACATCATATTCATAGCGGTACAGTGAGTGACCTTCCAGGAAGCAATCGAGGCAGGTTTTGAAGATTCCAGTCTGTGGCTTGAACCCACATTTTTTGCATGGTGGCCTGGCGTAAGTCTTGCTTGGTCCCATCAGGTGAATCACCATGTCATCCCCCACATATATGCCTGGCGTCAAATTAAGGTCTCTCTTGTTTTAGAAATAAATTAAAATATATTTATTTCAAGATTTGACAACCTATTACTCCAAATTATGCAAGGCAAATTTGTCTATAAACTTAAATTTTTATGAGATTTTACTTTTGAGAAATTATCACGTCTAATACTGTCAGAATATGATTAAAAAGGATACACATGCTTCTTAAGATATAATAAAAAATTAAAAAATTAAAAGAAAGAACTGGACATGCGATAATTTTCTAATTTTATTTGTAAAGTTAAAAAATTACTCGAGTGTAAAATTTAAATAAAAACATAATCGGTTGTTTATCTTCATCTCACTACTTCTCAATCCAAATATTGGGTTAAAAATAGGTTTCTTGTCGCTCTTGATTAAAAATCCAGACCTGAATTATCAAAAGAAAAAAGATCCAGACCTAAATTCTTCAAATTTGAAGCCAAAATCTCTACACAAGTCAAACCTTAATTGTAATAATTAATAATAGATAATCATTCATAAAAATATAAAATTGTTGAAAAAGAAATTATATATAGAAGATTGAAATTCTCATCTCCTAGAAATTATAAGTTGCATTAATGAGTTGTTAATAATAGAAAAGAGAGAGAGTATATATATACCATGGTGAAAGTAAAGACGTGACTTCCTATCAGAAAAGATGTGATCTCCTGGCCTAAGGGCATCCCTTCGTACAGTTTTCATCTTTTCTCGCTCTTTACTCTTTAGACTTAGAATTTAAGTTTGATGTGCAGCTTTGTACTGAACACCACAATTTATAGATGGAATTCATAACTGTGAGAATGAAGAATCTTACATGTATATAAAGTAAAAATATATATTGCCGATTAATTCTTATCAACATGTTTCTTTTTTAAGCCATAAGAGGAATATACAAGCTAATACATTATACGATGCATCATTTTGTCCAGTATTTGTGGTGAAATACACTATTATTAATTTTATTAGGCTTGAAAAAAGAAAAAGAAGTAGAAGATAATCCAAGCTGAGAACAATTTGTTTTTGGTAATATTTCATTTTTATTTGAAACTTTTAAAATTCAACTTTTGAATCCACAATCTTTTAAAAATATTCCCAAAAAAAAGGAAATAATTTATTTAGAACAATTTTGAAAAAATCATGATCTAAAATCATTTTTTTGAAACAATCTAGAAGGCAACGGATGGTTGATAACTTTTTCTACAAAGAATAAAGTAAGAAAAATACCCCCCCCCCCCCAATGAATAAGTTCTTAATTCTTATGCAAAGCCAAAATTTGAACAAATCACGTGGCCCAACTAGTTAGGGCATGATGTTGTAGAAATGTCATGTGAACCCTTGCATAATGCTAGTTTTGGCATATAATTACTATAGGCCAAATAAAGCACCAAATTATAGTGCTTGCTTGTTAGGCAGTACTGCTGATTTCACCAGTCCAAAATTTGATCTGAATGAATCATATTCCTCTTTTATATCATGGATCAAAATTAGTCGGGTAATGCATTATCTATTAATTAACAAGACAAGTGCCTAGTCAAGTGAGGCATGGTCATATGTCATTGTTACCATTGTTTTATTCCTTTCCTAGTTTTAGTTATTATTTATTATTATTATTATTATTATTATTTTTGGCAATTTCAGTATGCCTATATCACGAGCATATGTAATGTAAAGCGGACAAGCGGTCTTTAGTACCAAACATAAAAAGAAAAAAAAAAAAGACCAAACTTGGATAGGCAACTCCAATCCTATCTTGGAGACTTATAAGTTGCATACCACTTGATAGAGACTTAAACACATTCAAACCTGAAGGAAATAGAAAAGTATCCACCAAATCTTATCGAAAGAAACTAGAAAAAAAATAAAAACGAGGAAGACAAATATCTCACTTCTTTATGGGACAACAAATATGAGGCAACCCTCAAACAAAAGGGCTCCTTTGTTATTTATTTTATTTTAACTTCGGTGCTTATTTCTGTCTTTGATTGCCACAAGGTAATATCGAATTAGTCAAAAGTTATGGGGCAGTTCGTTTGAAAATTTTGGAAAACTACCAATAATAATGGAGATGGCATCTTCCTTATTCTTTGTTTCATTTGGTTTGAATAAGATTCTCATATATCCATAATCCCAGATGCCTTTAAAGTTTTTACTTCTTTGCTTTTGAAATGCAACTAGTTTGTGATATGTGTGATGCACGGGATTTTTATTTTTTTATAAAATTATTTTAATTAATTAAATTTAACAGGATAATATTATATTTCTTTTAACTAAATTTATATGTTGTTATTGTATTTAATTTAATATGAAATAAAAATATAAAATATTCTCTATACATAATTTCATTTAAAATTGAAAAGCATATTTTGTCTTTATTTTTCCAACAACCTATTTATTAGGTTTGGTAACATAAAATTAAAAGAAATTTGGATTTTAGTGTAAAATGTGTGATAAAGAACATGAAAATATAACATTAATTCATGATTGGACAATTACTCACTTTAAAGTAAGTTATTTTAATTTTTATGAACTCATCAATCAAACAAAAACATTAAGAGAATTTATAATCTAAAAAATATATGTTAAATTTTAGCTTTATATGTTAAAAAAAATCTAATAATTTAAGTGCAGTGAATTCACTGATATTTATCTTTGTCAATTAACCATTAAATAATAAAATTAAAAGATTTTATTAGTAAGCACATTTATTACATAACACTTTTTCCTATTGATATGTACATATATTTGAAAATTATATTTGAGGCTAGATTATAATATAAAATATTAGATAATATAAAAATCAAATTAAGACTACATAGTACTAATTTAATGTAAGATAAAATTTATATAAATAAGATAATGAAATTAATAAGTTTTTGTATAAAAAGTATATAGTTATTAATTTAATAACTATATATTTTCAAATTTTATAAGTTTTGTTCAAATGTGAAATAGTTGATAGATAATAATTTTTTAAAATATATCTTTTATATGAATTAATTAATTAGAAGTAACACAAATTCTTTTCTCATGAGATAGAAAAGAAATCTTTCATTTAATGTAGTATTGTAATATTAGAAAGATAATATATAAAATTAAAATTTGGTCTTTCGATAATAATTTAAATTTAAAATTTTTTTAGTATTAATCATTAAATGGTAATACATTAAAGGCAAACTCCTATTCTTATGTAGTGTCAATGTTGAATGCTAAAAGTTAAAAGTTAAAAGTTAAGAATGTAATTTAATTTTGATCAATTTAAGGTAAACAATAATGAAAAATTAAATTTTAATTGCAACTTGAATTGTAATTTATTCGTAAAAGGCAAAAACATTGGTTATTTATAAGAAAACAATTGTAATATTATATTTACTGTATAATCCATTCAGATAAATCAATTCTTAACTTTTAATCTCTTGAGAGATTTAACTCTTCATTTAACTTTGCTTTATTAATAACACTCAATTTGATAAATACTAACATTATATGAAAACTTTATTTTAATTTTTTAAAAAATTTACTCTTAAAAACTTTGTGCCTATTAACACAATTTCTTATTATTGGATCCTTTTTTTTTTTCAAATTGTCAAGGCCTATTGATGGATAAATAACAAATCTTAAGTAATACAATAATTTATTATCTCTATTGTTCAATTTACTCCATTGAATGCCAACACATTTTTAATGCATTTCTCAAACTTAAAAGATATTAATTAATTTAGTTAAAGGTAATTGATGGAGATTGTACGTTAAGTGATTAATGTGAACTTCAATTTCGTTTTAAATTTTCAAAGGATATGACCAAGCAAATGAATTAGCATAATTCTCATTACATATAATAATATTTAAAAAATCAATACATTTATAATTTAGATAACAAATTAAAATTTTGTTTTCATTTATATGTATAAGATAATTGAATTTCATTTGGTATTGGAATAATTGAAACTTAGAAATTGTTAATCCCATGCAAGACTCTTTTGTGTAATCCATCCATATTTGTTTAGACATTCCCTTGCATATCATATCCTATTTTCTTCATGGCAAAAATCCTTTATTATAGTATTTGAGATCAGACATGTTCCTGGTGATAACTTGCTAGCAATTAGAAAAGCTAGTAAAATTTTGTAGTCAATATTAATCATATAACATATGTATATATATTTGCACTTAAAAATTATAAATTACTTCATTAAAAAATAAACTAAAAATTAAAGATAGAGATAAAATAAAGCAAGCCATTTTATATTGTGTATGAAATGTTTAGATTAATTTTGAAGGCATATCAACATATTTGTATATTATACTGATATTGTTCTAAAAACTAAAAGTAAATTAGGTTTTTTTTTTGCTAAAAAGCATATTGTAATATTAAAAAACAATAAAAGAAATCACATTTTGAAATAAAGAGGAATAAAACAAATGAAAAAAAAAAAAAGAAACATATCAATGGAACAAATAAAAAAAGAAAAAAAAAGAGATGGAACATAATAGAATTATAGAACAAAAACCCATTCTATTATCTAAAATGGACAAAAACATATTCCCATTTATAATGTTGAAGTAGGTGAGAAAAATTAAAAATAAAATTTAATTGAGAGTGATTTAAGGTAAAAAAAAAACAATTAACTTTGATTACAAATTGAATTGAAACTTATTTATATAATGTAAGAGTAATGACTATTTAAAAGAAAATAAATCTAATAATCTAAGTTAAATAAATTTACTTTTTTTTACATTACAAATTAATTAAATCAAATTACGCATATTGATTTTTTAAATTAAAAATGCATAAAATAAAATAAAATATATTTATTAGATAATATATGTAAAAAATAGAACATTCAAATTGAATATTTTCTTTTTTGTCGAAGATTTTGATTTTTATATATTTGCATAAGAAAAAGTATAAGATTAATAAGGTGTTCAAGGTATTTAATATTTATTATAATAAATAGACTAAAAACTAAAAATGGAAGTAATAGAGTAATTTATGAAATGTATAAAAACAGTCATTTCATAAAAATTTGATTTTATTATCATTATTAGATTAATTTAAAAATATATTTTTTATTTCTCTCAAGAGGATTAAATACACATTGTACTTGACTATTCTAATTGTCAAGCATAAATTACTCTTGATTTGGTTTTTATTTTATTTTAGTCATTTAATCATTTAAAAATAAAATATTAATAAGAATCATTGAATGTGTTTTATAATAATAGAAATAAGATATTTTAAATTAAATTTATTTTATCATTAAATTCTCAATTTTAAATTTAAAATGCATAATTAATTTTGAATATATATCAATTTTTTAAATTATCTACATATAAAAAATATAGATTATCCACATCAATTTTTTTTTTGTTAGACGCTTTGGCTTTTATGTATTTATATAAAATTTGAATGGCTACTAACAACAAAATATAGGAGTGATCAAATGGCATTCAAAATGAGAATATTAACAGACTGGAGCTACTCCAAATATACAAAGGATTCCAAAATAACCATCCTTGAAAATCAATTTCATTGCTGTTCACTAAGTGAAGGAACATATTTTATTTGCTAAGGTGTCTTGGCATGATTGGCTTCGCTAAGATTTTGCTTGGTATGGGAATGATGGAAAGGTCTATGAATGAAATTTTTTTTTTTTAATTAACAATTAAGCTAAGCAAAATAAGAAAGTGATTGTGAAACTTAACATTCGATTTACAAAATCTTTTTTGCTTTTTATCTTTTTTATCAAATAAAGTTTAAGATCAAGTGCATTTGGATTAAGAATTTTGAAATTTTAAAAAATTAAATTAAAACATAATTATTTAATTAAATAATAATATCATGAGTTGAGCCAAATCCAATTGATTTTGAAAACCCAAAACTCAGACTTGAGACAATTGGAACTGCCCGTTGTAAGTCAAGCTGACAGGCCTGAAGCTTGAAAAAGGTTAATAGTATGATATTTTTCTTTTAATAACTTGATTTTAGAAAGAATACCTTTGTCTAGTACTATTAATTAGCCACATATATTTCTACCTGTTACGAAATTAAGAAATTAATTGATGTCTCTTAATAAAAATAAAAATCGCCCCTTAAGGGCTACAACAACCATGCACAGAAAGAAGAAGAAAATGGAAATTAGAAACATTTGTTAAATATATACTTTTTAAGTGTCCTATTAGTAAAAATCTGATTACCAGGCTTGAGCTCATCCCATTTCCGGACTTCCATCTTTCTTCCTTTTAACTCCAAGCCAATGTTTGAGTTACAGCTGGGTACATACTTTACTATACAGTACTTCAAATTCATAGACGGAAAGAAGGGTTCTTGGAAGCACAAAAAAAATGAATGATTAGAGAATCCAAAGGACCGAATATTAATGGTGAAAATTGGAGAATCCTATAAAGTAGCAGAACGAATGGTGTACTTTATTTAAAAGATATCGGGATGGACTTTATCAAAGTTTAGTAACAGCACAAGACTTGAAATTCAAGTTGGGTTATTATGTAAAATCTGCCTCGTAACAAATTCAGACAAGTATGCAATGGAATTAAGCCATTCAAGCCATGAGTGGAGAATCGAATAACTATGAGGAAAATGTTCTTACGCAAGCCAAAATGCATCGTTGATGAATCATCTGCCTTATTATGGTGACCATGACACACTACAAGTGATGAGTGAAGAGTGAACGCTTGCGTATATACGTAACGCAAGCTTATATATCCGAGTCTCTTTTTGCAGTGTTGTCATAATCGAATCGGCCGACCGGTTCAATCGGTAATCAATGGTCTTTTCAATGCATTTAGGCTATTTGAACAGGGCGTTAGTCGGAACGAACCATTATTTTTAATATATTAAATAAATCTTTCAGATACTGATAATAAAATATAAACCTGATCGAATGCCATTAAACATGGCAAGAGTTGGTCCAATATACAAAAACCTTTTTCATTTCCAGTAATATAGTACAATCTTACTACAACCAGGCAAAGACAGGGGCACACTGAGACTCAAACAAGCCTCAGGAAATTATTATTGGGATTTATAGCAAATTATATATTATAGATTTTCATTTTTCATTTTTTTTAAAGACGAGATGTAAAGCCTATAGTATTATTCCTGAGATAATCGGCTGGCATCATGCAGTTGATGACACGAAGAAGACAATGCAATCTATGTTTCCTTAATCCGCTGCAATGAAAACCACAAAGTACTATTAGTACTTGTAAACACTGCACCTCAAGTTCAGGTCAGGCCTCCACCACTGGTATAGCCCATGAGCTTGCATGATATCTGGTGGGGGATTTAGATTCACTGTCAGATTTGCAGAAGGAAGCAGATGCAACGGTTCCGAAGTTTCGACACCTTTTATTCCCACCGAACTCATAAATAGATTTGCCAGTGAGTGCTGGCTTGTTAACCTCGCAATAGCCCCGGCCCCAATATTTTCCAGCTTTCTCCTGTGCTCGAAATAACCGATATATTCAGCGCATATGGGTCTTTCTGATTCACAAATAGGCATGGGATCCATCCAGATATAGCAACGTGTAGACAGCCTAATTGGTTCAGGCTCAAGTCCATTGGGCCTGGTTCAATGGGGTGTGGGACTCAACCCATTGGGCTTAGCTCGATGGGATATAAAAGTCAGTCTCAATTGTCCATTTTTTAGTTTTTGGTTTTATTTTTGGGCTAATCTTCCTCTTTTTTTTTTTGTTTTTGCTGATTTATCTGTTTTTTTTTAGTTTTTAGGTGACACAAAAAGAAATTAGTTTTAATTTTTTTAAAAAATAAAAGGTTTTGCCATGGATAGGATTGGTGGCAGAATCATGGTTGAACTGGATTTTTATGAGATAAGGTAGAAATTAAGTCAAATGGGGACTTAGAGTTGATTAGGAACTCTCCTAATTAATTCTATAAATACTCGTACTGATCAGATGAAACAAAACACAAAAAAGAGAGAAAACAGAAGCCAAAGGTGTTTAGAAAGGCATAGGTAAATTTTAGAAAATTTAGGATTTTTTTTGGAATTTTTGGGTAAATTTTTTTCTGAAAAATTTTTGAAATTTTTAGATTTTGGTGAAATTTAAATTTTTTGGTGTGTTCTTACAGATTCCCATGTGCTTTTCCAGAATCCGATAAAAATTCAATCGGATTTTGGGTTCTGTTAGAGAGAGAAGAAGAGAAAAAAGGGGAAGAAAGAGAGAAGGAAGGGAGGCGTATGAAGGAAAAACAAGATTTTTGCCTTTTATACTTACATAAGACGAAGTCGTTTTAGCGTTAAAAATCTCAGAGGATCCGTATGTTTTGCCATCGGACAACCCGACTCAAGCGTCTACCCGTTTTTGACTCGCACTCGACCCGCATGCCAGCTGATCCCTGAATCCGAGTCGAGCCGCGTCTTCCAGTTGAGCCCACGAGTCGCTTTTTATTTCTGCAGCCGAGCCATTCCAAATTCCAAGTCGAGCTGCTTTTAGATTTTTTTTGGAATTTTCTTATTTATTTTATTTATGTATTTCTTTTTTTTCTTTAATTTTTTTCCTTTTCTATTAAATTAAATAAAAAATATAAAAAAAATATTTTGGAAATAAATATTAATTATCCAATGATGGAATTTATAGAAATTTCAAATAGTAAGTTTTATAAAATTCTTAGGTGAGAAATTTTATCTAAATTTATCCCAAATGGTGGAATAATTTAGATAAAGTTTCAATAACAATAATTAATATTTATTTTCAAACAAAAAAACTAAAAAATGAAAAAATATAAAAATAATAAAATTTTTGAATTAAATATAAATTATCCAAGGATGAGATTCTTAAAAATTTCAAATGGTAAATTTTTAAGAAATCTCTAGGTGAGAAATTTTCTCTAAATATGGCCCAAATTGTGGAATAATTTAGATGAAATTTCAATAAAAATAATTGTCATATTATTTTCTTTCCAAAGAAAAAAATTTAAAAAAAACTTTTAAATAGGCCCAAATGGTGAAAAAAATTTAGAAATTCAAAATAAGAAAATATTTTTAATTTGGCCCAAATGGTGGAATAATTAGATATATTTTCAACAAAAAAAATAATAAAAAAATAATAAAACCTTTTTCCAACGACAGAGCTTCTTTAAAGAAATAAATGGGATCTTTGAATACACTTGAGGTGAGAAAGTATTTTTTTAAGAGTTTTACCAGATTAATAGAGAATCTTAAAAATTATTTTCAATATTTAACATAAAATTTGAAACCATTAGACTCAAAACCTTAGGATAAATTTAAAATAATATGGTACCATCCTTTGGATAGGCATGTGGGGGTGCTATAACCTTCCTCACATGTAACTGACTTTCGAATCCTGTTTTGGTTAGTAGATCCAAACTTATTCTTTTAGGGACCTTTAGTCAAGCTTATGAGTTCTTTAAAAGGATAGATTCCTTAGATGGTCAATCACACCTAGTAAAAAAGATTGGTGGCGACTCCATTCATTTGTTAAGTCTAGCTATAGATTTACATATCTATATGTTATGACAGTTTGGTGACTCCACTGGGGATACTATAGAGAGTCAAGCCATAATTTTTGAATTTATCCTATTATTTGGTTTAATAGTTTTAAATTGTAATTATCTGTTTACTAACATTTTTTTCTTTTTTGACTTTTATTTAATTTTTTGGGGCATGAAACTTATATGTTCCTTCACACACACTATCACATGCATTTACATTATATGAGCTCTATACCTGAGCTCCGTCCCTTTTAAGAGGGAGTAAAGTACCTACACTCTCGTGAGATAATAATCTCTACAATGGCTAGCGAAATACTCCCACTCAAATTGAATTTTTTTTATTGGTAGCTCGTGATGGGTGAGGATTGGAATGCCTTACTAGTCTGTGATGGAAAATGATATAAGGAACAATTTGAGAACTTTTAGTGGTTAAAATCACCTAACCCTGCATATAGTGTACGCTTAAGAGGCTAGCCTTAGGATAAAACCCTTCCTACCCAATGATAGATGTAACTTGAAGTTAGGACACAAGAAGGAACAATTTATGAGTTGCTAACCATTTTGATTATCTGACTTTGTGCATCATTTTCATTATCATATGTAACATTGTGCATTTGCATCACTTTCATTTCATCCATAAAATTAACCGTGTTGTTTGTCTAATTTTGTGCATCTACATCATTTCATTCTATGAATCATTTTCATGATCATTTGCATCATTCTCATTTCATCAATGAAGATCCACATTCCATTCATGCACAAACATACCATGCTTAAAGCATATAATTTCTAATCATAATTGTGGTATCAAGGTTCAAAGATAGCTTTATCAATTAAGAATCTTACATAATCAACTCACCAGTACAACATAAGAGCTTGAGCAAGACAGATGGAACAAGAAAATTCCAATCATCTCGAGAGGATAAAGAAAGCTCAAGAGAAGCTAGAAAGAGAGTTGAATAGGATTTTGGAAGCTTTGAACAAATTAAACAAAGAAAAAAGGATATAAGAGAGTACTAGCCAACAAGACCATCCATCACAAGAGGTGGATGACCTATATACCCTTTTGATTTTGGGCCATATCAAGCCCAATCCACACAAGGTCCACCACCATGGCAGTTCACAATCCAGTAAGGTACACATACCCTGAAATACTATCAATTTTAAATCCACCACAATACTAGAGCTATATAAATCCTATATTTACTGAAAAGGTAGTAGAACCAATATCAGTCCCTAATTTGGATGATCCAGAGGATAAAAAAAATTGAGGCCCAAAGAGAAGAAAATTTTAGAAGCCTCAAAAGCTGAACAAAAAATGAACCTATTAGAGGAAAGGTTATGGGCCGTAAAGGGCACTGATTTTTATGGTTCAGTAGATGCTGCTAGACTTTGTTTAGTCTCAAATGTGGTTATTCCTCTAAAATTCAAGGTTTCAGAGTTTGAAAAATATGATGAAACAAAGTGTTTGAAGACCTACATTACCATATACTGTCAAAAAATAGCAGCCCATGCTAATAATGAGAAACTGTTGATGCATGTGTTTCAAGACAACCTCACAGGCTTTGCTGCTAGGTGATATGTCCAGTTAGATAAGACCCGCATTTGCTCTTGGAATGATATGGCCCATGATTTTATTAGTCAGTATCGGTATATCATCGACTTAGCCCCAAATTGCCTTTCTTTATAGAATATGGAAAAGAAAGCAACTAAATCATTTAAAGAATATGCCCAAAGGTTGAGGGATATTACTTCTCAAGTGTAGCCTTCTTTGATCGAGAAAGAGACCACAGTACTGTTCATTAACACTTTGAAATCTTCTTATTATGAAAAAATGATAGGGAATACGATAAAAAATTTCACTGATATGGTGATCTCAGGTGGAATTATTGAAAATGACATTAAAAATGGTAACTTAAAAGGAAGAAAAACCAATAAGGTGTTAGAAAAGAAAGAGGTCAAAATTCAAACTGTGAGCTTTGATAGACAATACAAGGGTTATCAACCTTATCCACTACAAGGTTACCTCTATACTATCCTACAATGAACAATACTTCATCCTACCCATACCAACCAAACTTATTACCATCATATCCACCAACATATCAGTAAGCTCTCACATATAGCCTTAACATTCAATCTCTTACAAGACCCTAAATTTATCCTGTTAGCCTAGCAAGTGGTTCACGAGAGCTATGAGCTACCCGAAAAAAATTCATATTTGATCTAATCCCCATGACTTATACAGAGTTATACTGAGAGCTTTACAACAACCACTTGATTGTCCCTAGCTGTGTGAAGCTGCTCAAGCCATCCTATTCTAAGTGGTATGATCCTACAGCTCACTGTGACTACCATTATAGAATTACTAGTCATTCCACTAAAAATTGCATTGTATTGAAACATAAGGTGCAACGATTAATTAAGGATGAGATGGTAAGTTTTGATCAAGGAAAAGCAACAACACCTAATGTTAGTGACAATCCATTGCCTAATCACAATGTCAATGCTGTGAGTGAGAATCAAGAACACGTTGATCCAAAAGGGCCTGGAAAGCTGCAATGAATCAGAGGGTAAGATGTCAATAAAGATTCTTCACCCAATTACACAGGGACATAATTTTGAGAAGCATGTTAAGGCTGGTTGGAGGCTGCTTGCCATTTTAGGATTTCTTTTAGAGTAATTTTAGGATTTCTTTTATGCATTAGGATTTCACTTGTTATCATTTCAATAAAAAGCAAGTTAAAGCATTTCATTACACTTTTTTTCTTTCAACCATTGTTCCATACTTTGTTACCTTTCATACTTTTCATTCCAATTCTCAAATTTCAGATGATGAATGTTTAGACAATAATAACAATAATTATGGGATTTAATTTTGAGAACTCATTCACATTGATCTGATGAGACTATTTGAGTAAAAGAAGTCAGCTACTAATAGATGTGAAATTAATATGTTTTAAAGATGTGCAGTCTTTTATATAAATTTGTGAGCTTATTTTTGCTCAATAGATGATGTTCAAGGAAAACATTCACATT